TATATATATATATATATATATTCGTTTTAATTTTAACTTTAAATTGTTTTGCATTATATGGCCGTTTGCTGTTTTATGGGTTTTTCCCATTTGCTTTCCAAACTGTCCAGTGGTGGCGCCAGGATTTTCCCGACGGGGGTCCGAGGGGGTGGGGTGTCCCCGACGAAAAAAAGTGGGCATGGCCGGGTGTCTCTCAAAATCTATTCGAGGGATGAAGCCTCGAAAAATATGACAATTTAGGGGTTCCAAAGGATTATTTAATCGATTTTGGAGTCTATTAATATGTACGAAAATACCTCTACATGTCTTTTTTTCTCCCCGACGAATTTTCTCCCTTGGCCCCCCCCCCCAGCCTCCCTCCCACCCGCTGGCGCCATCTCGGATTTTGTCACAACAATAAAGGCCTACCGTCGTCTCGACCACTTTCCTTCACGGTTGTTGCGGGTGTTGTACATCTTAGTTTCTTCAGTACTGTACAACTTCCCTTTGGAAAAAGGAACATCAAAAACATAATCATTATTAGAAATGTTGTATGGATTTCTTCAGGGCAGTTGAATATTAAGCAGGTAATTTATTTTGAGGTTCGGTTCCTTATGTAACTAAACTGGTATGTGGTGGCCCTGCTAGTCTTAAGCGTCTCTCCCACTAGGTAACATAACAATTATACGTCTATTTAGCATTAACATTCGTAATTTTTATTGCCATGAACTCTCTTCTGTTTTTTTTTTCATTACACAAACACATGAACGAACAAACGAAGATCGGTTAAAGAATACTAAGCCTATTATTGTTATTAATTATTACATAATATAAATTAAGTGCAGATGACAACAGCGGCGAAAGGTTTTTGAAAGTTGGTGTGGGGAGCCATTTCATAAGATAATTCTAATTCCAAATCTTTATTTCAGCAATTAAAAGCATATAACATTTTAAATCCAGTAGGCAAACGAAGCGAGTATCTAGGCTGGGGGACAGAGGCCGCCAAGGGCCCCTGTAGGGGTCCAGGGGAATTATCCCCCTAGAAGCTACGGATTGACGAAGTTTGGTGAATTGTATTAGTTTTTTTATAGGAATCAAGCTACTGTAATATGACTCCATAATTGTTGTATTTTCCAAACAAAGTCGAAGTCGAGAATTAGGCATATTCATCATGTGAGGGTATCCTTGATATGGTATTCCCCGATGAAAATATTAGCCTTCTAGAAGCCGGAAATGGTACTTCAACAGTAGCGGGTCAGGAAATCAAAATAGAGGGCCCAAGGGGGGGTTTGCACAGATAGAGTGTCCACCCGCTTTAGCCCCACCAGGTTGGGGCTGAGGCAACAAAAAAAATTATAATTATGGCCGGAAATGGCACTCTAAGATTTAAATTTGAATATAATTTTCTGTTTGTAAAATGTATGATATAAACCACTTTTAATGTTTTCTTACATCAAATATCTATCAAAAAGTAATACAGGATGATACTCAACACTTACAGATTTAACAATGAAAATCTTATCACTTGTGTTACTATTCTCAATAAGTAGAGTTCCCCGTCTGAAATTAAATCAAAAAGAACAAAAATACACAGACTGGAGAACGATTTGCTGAATTGAATTGTTTGGAAGTTTACAAGATAATACACGAACGGAAAGAGTGGATAAATGCTGAGGTTAAGGAACAAATCAATATAAAACATAATAAGTGGAATAGGTATCAGAAATTAAAAAATGAACAGTCGTGGAAGGAGTATGTTAAGCAGAGAAATAGAACAACAACTGCAATAAAGCAAGAAAAATTGACATTTGAGACAAATTTGGCTAAGGACGTGAGAACCAACACAAAAAAATGGAAATATGTTCGTAGTAGAACTAAATTTAAATCTGGTATTGGTCCTTTAATAGACGGTGACGGGCATATAATTACAGATGATGTCAAAAAAGCAAATTTATTCAATAAATCTTTTGCATCGGTTTTTACAGTTGAGGACAAGTCTTTTATTCCAAAATTGGTTCCTCGAAGTGTTTCTTCAGGGTTAAATGCTATTGAATTTATTAAAGAGGAAATTGAGATGTATCTGAACAAGATGGATATCTGTAAAAGTTCGGGTCCGGATAACATTCATTCACGAGTACTAAAGGAAATGAGTGGACAATTAAGTAATATTTTTAAATGTATGTTTTATAAATTGTTACGTGACGGAATGGTCCCTCCATCATGGAGTCTAGCAGATGTAGTACCTATTTTCAAGAAAGGAGATAGATTGGTTCCTCTAAACTACAGACCTGTGAGTCTGACATCGATAGTATGTAAAACTATGGAAACGTTTGTTAGGAATTCTCTAATGGAGTGTATGGAACAGAATGATCTGTTTTCTGAGCATCAGCATGGTTTTAGGGCCGGGCGTTCGTGTAATACGGCAATGCTAGAAGTTTTGAATCAGTGGACCACATGGTTAGATGAGGGTTCTTGTTTTGATTGCGTATTCTTAGATTTTAAGAAAGCGTTTGATAGTGTTCCGCATGCTAGATTGTTAAATAAACTAATAGCTTATGGTATTGGTGGAAACCTTTTAAAGTGGACTGAGGCTTTTCTTTAATGTAGATCACAAATAGTAGTCGTTAATGGAACTAAATCAGATAGCCAGTTGGTTACTAATGGTATTCCCCAAGGCAGCGTCCTAGGTCCGTTACTTTTTAATATTTTTATAATTGATCTTCCAGATGGAATTAAATAAGATATAAAAATTTTTGCAGATGATACGAAAATTTATAGGAAAGTAAATAATAAGGAAGAGGCCGGTATTTTACAAAAAATGATATTGATGAGCTTTATAATTGGTCGGTTAAGTGGCAACTACCTTTTAATCTGGATAAATGTAGTGTTATGCATTTTGGCAAAAAGAACTTGGAAACTTTGTTTACGATGGGGTATACTAATGAATAGAAGATTCTACAGTCAGTGACTAAAATTGTAGACCTGGGGATTCTAATTGATAATAAACTCATCTTTGATTCTCATGTTTCTCAAGTTGCCTTAAAGGCAAATAGAAAACTTGGAATGATAAAGAGGTCTTTTAAATTTTTGGATGGGCGGTCTCTTGTTTATCTATACAAATGTATTGTTGGGCCAAGTTTGGAATACTGCAATCCTGTTTGGCAGTATTTATATTTTAAAGAATCGGATAAATTGGAAAAAAATCAACAACGTGCTACCAGAATTGTGTCAGAGATTAGACCCTTTCCTTATGAACAAAGGCTAAAAATGTTAAATTAACCCACTCTGGAATTTAGAAGGCAAAGATCTGCATTGATTCAGGTGTATAAAATATTTAAAGGGATCGATAGAATTTCAAGTAATACTTTTTTTCAGCTTGTTAAAGAATCAAAAACTAAGAGACCATAAATTAAAAGTTATTAGGGCCTATACCACGTTCAAAACACGTTTGGAAAAGTGTTGGTGCCGTCATCCGCTGAAGTTTTCCCCATATGAACGTATTGAAGGAGGTTATACCCAGAGGGACAAATAAGCTTCGGCCTCAGAAGTCTCGGTATCATGGTAGATCAAGGTAGGTAGGAGTGAATAAGAAGGAAACTCACTTGAAATAATTGAACATGCACTTTTCAGGATGTTCCTCCAATAACTGAATTGGCCAGTTTTTCAAGATTTCCAAATTTCTGTCGGAGAAATCCAAAAGAAAACAATATTAACATTTGAAAAGTAATATGAGATGATTTATTTTGTTTTCAATCATGATGGTAAAATAACTTTAAAAGAAAAACCCCGAAGGAGGAAAAACATAAATCCACTAGGAATTCAAATTGACTAATTGTAAAATACGGTACCGGTACCTGATGAATTCGCCTAGTTCAGGATCTTGGAGTTTCTTTTCTCCGCCTGCCATAAAAATTCTGATAAAGTCCTACAGAGAAAGAAAATTCACATACGTTACGAATGGTATATTTTGAATAGGTTTATTAGAAATTAAATTCAAAACATATTGTACTTATAGCAGCGTATTAATATACTACGGTAACTTTTAGGAATCGTTCTATTTTACTAGACTTGTATTGTCTAAGACGTTTGAAGTTCATGATGATATCTACATAAAACACTGCTACCGGTAGATTGTAGATATACTTATATTAAATATAACTGTTTGTTTAAAGTCGGACTCAGAAGGAAAAGCATTTTTTGATACGTTGTAGAATTGATTTTTCTAAGACAGAAAAAAGTTGTTTGACGAATAAATACTAAACGGTGAATGAGTTACAGATTTTTAAATATTCAAAAATCTGTATCTCATTCACCGTTCCCAGTTTTTCTTCAAACAACATTTTTCTGTCTTAGAAATATCAGTTCAACAACATATCACAAAATTGTTTACCTCCGGAGCCTAACTTTAACATACCTTTTTTGAAATGCAGAAAAGTTCAACTTTCTCGCTCGCTGTTGCTGTAAATGAGCGTTTAGTATTCTGGAGAATAGCTAGATCCTTCAAAATAAAGACAAAAGTAAATTCAGTTGTTTTTCCATGTTACTGGCAGCATTTTATACTTGGACTATTGAGAACGTGTTATCTATATTTTCAGTACTTTATCATTGTTCAAAATGTTAAGGCACCGGTACTTACTCCAAAGCTGCTTCCTCTCTTCAGTACAGAAATTGACTTTGAATTGGTCGTGGACGAAGCATTACTTGAAGTTATCAAAACTATACACGATAAAAATATCATTTATGAAAATTAAAAGAAACAAACATATTCCTACATGGTGTGGGGAGTATAATCTTAAAATATATACCCGTGTGGACCTATTTGAATTCATCGGGTCATAATAATGATGTTAATAAATATGATATTAATCAATATATTGCGTAACAAAGTGATACATATGTTTAAGATAAATAAATAGTAAAAAATAAGTAGACAAATCTTCGAAGGTTGACCATGATGATGATTGTGATGATAATACTAATTATAATTCGCGTTAACCCCTGACCTGATCCTGAAAGTAGGAAGTAGAACGACTGGGGTGGATGACCTTCCCGGATGATGACGCGCTTTGGATTAAAAGTTTGGAACCAGCCCACTTTCGCTACTTTCAGCTGCATCTTCACTGGATACTCAGCAAATGACTTGAGGTCTAGAAGGGTGCGCTGGATCTAAAAAATATAATGAATCGAATATAAAATGTAGATATAAACTCAATTAACAGTTAAGTATGCATGGTGATTACTATAATATAGCTGATAGACAATATGAAAGCATTTTAGGCCTATCCAACGTAAACGATTGAACACACCATTTTTGTACATTAAAAGTAAACATTTAAACTGAAAATACACATGATATTATAAAACCTTAACTTAAAAGTTGTAAATAAGTGCTTACAACATGTATGTCCTCCTCAGTGCGTTCATTTGGATGTGTCTTCATTACTGTTTTAGCATCAGATGATATTCGGTACTTCAAAAGGAAAACAAAATATACAATTTTACGCTTCAATATTTCCCAAAAACATCATACAATATCAACTCGAATTATGGATTACCAATATCAACGATCATCATTAACGCATTGTGAACTTCAGACCGTACATCACCAATTTAATTTCTATTTCAAATAAACATCTATTTCTAAGTGGTATACAATTTAATTTAAGTAACTTGCTTACCTCTTTGTTAGCTTTGAATTTACTCACATCAAACATGAGGTCAACACTGGGGTCACGCTTGCCGTGGAATGCAATTTGAGCAAATGTCATTGCATTCGAATCTTCTTCGTCGTCTCTACATTCATCAACAACACATTAATTTTCAATTGGTCTTTTCATCATAACTATAATATGTTCTTTCAATTGATTGTTCTTACTGTTAACAAAATACACATGCCTATACAAATTAAGGTTTTCGAAATTGCAATGTATCATCGTGAGAGGTTATGCAAACTTAAGTTTTCTCATGTCTTGATGAACATAGGGTAAGAAAACCTGTGTGCACTTCAAAATTTAGTCGGCGCCAAGTCGGTAAGTTGTGACATTTAACGCCAACGTTCCAAATTCTTCTGTTGTAATTTAATTGTAATGTGTACTTACTGTAGTTCTTGAAAATGGAGTCTACACATTCTATGAAGTAGAATAGTGAGTCGGCCGAGCATCTTGAATTTCATATACAATTGCCGCTGAGAAAACGGATAGAAAATTATGCCTTGAATATTAATTGGGGACAAAGATTTTGCTATAATGTTTTGTACTAGTTTGTAATTTCATATGTTTGAATTTGAGTAATAGGTAACTTTTGTTTGTGAACTAAGTTTATAACGCTGGTTCTTAATTACCAAGCTCGCAGAAATTGGGATCATCTTACCAATAAGTTCGTAGTTAATCGTACTACATCAATTAATTCTAACTGTGAAACTCACCTTTAAGGAATTAAATTAAAGCCTTTAATTAAATGTAACTGTATGTGCCTATGCCTACTATACCGTGCAAGAAAAATTAGTTTTTTGTTAGATAAAGAAGATATTACTGCTTATGTTTTTTCGTAGTGTAAAGGAGGATCGTACATAAGAATGTTTGTATATTATTAGGATATAGACCTAGTGTGGAGGCCTACGTGTAGTTTTCATGAACGAATGGTTTCTTCCAGCTGACGAATTAAAGCAGTTCCAGAAATACACAATGATCCCCCAACATACATTTTGTCTCAAATACGCGCACGTGGTTTATACGTACGATACGCTGATACCTTAGCAACGCTCTCTCTAAGGGTTGGGGCTTAGCCATGGCTTAGCAGAACGATCCATCATCATTTAGTGACATGCATTGAGGGCAAGTTGAAAAATGGTGCTTATGCCTGTAGGCCAAAGTTATGAATAATATAATCAGTGACCTTAATGATTCGACCGAACTTCGTTTAATAGTTCTTTCATAAAGGCATATTCTATTATTATCGTCTTTAATGCGTTATGATATCGATTTAATTTTGTTCTGTTTATTATCATAAGCTAACAGGATATAATGGAAGTTCTAATAAATGCTATCTAGGGGGTAAATTTAATCGCAAAAATAGAACGCTATACTTAATAATAAACAATAGACACATTGGATATACAGTACATAATTTATAACTTTCATAATATAATGATAAATATTCATCATATATATATATCAAGGTAGACGTTAACACTGTTAAATTATATACAAATCATCATATATATCTATCTATATATATATATATATATATACAGTGTATATATATATATATATAACATAAATCAAGGTAGCCGTTAACACTGTTAAATCATATATAAATCATCAAAGAAAGGTAAATACAGTGTTCGAATAAAGGACTTAATAAATACATCGTGTAGCATAGCTGCTCTCAGAATTCAAACTTTTTACTATGAACTACAATATTTCATTCGAGGTCATTCTGGCAGCCATCTTAAATTTCAAAATGGCTGCCACGCAAAACCTATATTTATCAATATATCGGCTTTTAAACAACTTCCAATAAGAATTATGTCTAAAAATACATTTTCATGGTCAAGGATTTATAGCACTTGTGACATGGTCAGAT